TAAGACCGCGATGCAGAGCGCGACGGAAAGCAGATCGAACTTTGTGTAACGGGAGCGGAACAGATCGAACTTTGTGTAACGGGAGCGCAACACATCGGACTTTATGTAACGGGAGCGAAACAGATCGAACTTTGTGTAACGGGAGCGCAAAACATCGGACTTTGTCGTTAGGAGGCATCGAATTGCGTAGCGTGTACAACCCTGTTCCGAACACTGGTTGGAACACAAAGTTGAACAAAATGAAGTATTTTCGAAGATACGTGTCAGACACATGTATTCTATGTGAAACGAACCTGCTGATGACGAATCTGGACTCAGGTATGACGTTTTTTTAACTCTGGAACACCTACCGTCCCGTTCCGAACACTACTTGGAACACCGAGTTGAACAAAATGAGGGTTTTTCGAAGATACTTGTCAGACACGTCTATTCTATGTGAAACGAACCTGCTGATTACGAATCTGGACTCAGGTATGACGTTTTTTTACTCCGGAACACCTACCGCCCCGTTCCGAACACTACTTGGAACACTGACATGAGCAAAATGTTGTGTTTTCGAAGATATGGACCTTTCCTGCCCGACTGTTGCCCCGTGGCCAGTTCGAAGAAAAGCTCTGTTGGCCAGAGTGTGCATGCCGTCCTTCCCTCCCCTGAGCCGGGTTAGCTCTCGAACTTCCCTCCCTGACGCCCGATTGTCGTGGACAGTTTTAAAACAAGCAGAGAGTCAGTTTATCAAATATATTTGATAAAAAAAGTATCAACTCGTTCTTTACTTGTGCTAGTATTGTGCATACAGTTCGGTTTAATTATGTTCACTTTCAGAGTGTGTTCATTATCATAAAATTCCTATATCTTGATAACCATTCACCGGAGCTCAAAAATATGCAATTTTGAGATGGAAGTATTACTATTATTTAGGCTATTCATGATAACGAACTGCTTATATCATTCAAAACCATCATTGAGATGTGGACTTATCGGGGAAGACCCCTTGACAACTCGCATGGCCAATGAAAAAATGTTATGCCTGAGTACCACCTAACCTAACTTTTCAATTTTCGTTTTAGTACTGATAAGTGCTGTTATCGGTGTTAAAAATTTGCAATTTTTAAAGCTAGCACCGATTTGAATCTTTAAATCATCCCAAATATGTACGAATTTCTGCTTATTGAATGTAAAAAACAGACCAATGATGGCGCATGCGCAGAACGCAAATGGCGAGTGATGTTAACAATGGACTCGAAAAGTTTTCTAATTTATTAAATATCAAACGAAAGTAGATTTTAAAGATTTTTGAAACTCGTTATCATGAACAAATAATGCAGCAGGAATACAAATTGCGTTATTTCTCAAACTGTAAATCAGTTGTCTTGCAAGTCAAACTCTTATAAAAAACTGCCGCCGAGCGGATCGTCCCGCGAGGGACTTTTGCTTAGTAATTCGCAAATTTCTCTAAAATTTGCTTTGCAAGTGCAAAAAAACCTCTATTATTGATTGGTTACTGAGTCAAGACCTATAATTTGGTTATATGCAATGAACTGTACGTGCTGTGGTCTCTGAGCTGAAAGTGGGGTATAAATTAAACCGTACTGAGCACAATACTCGTTCTTCCACCTCCGATAGAAGATGATGGAGGTAAAGAACGAGTAAAAAGCTCTGTTGGCCACCGTGAGCCGTCCTTCCCTCCCCTGAGCCGCGTCAGCTCTTCGACTTCCCTCGCTTTCCTCCTGTACGCCCGAAATGTGTTATTTGCCAAAGTGCGTTAACACAGCATGCCAGAAGAACAGCAAGTTGACGAGCCTCTGTTGGACGAGAACGGGTTCCCAATAGCATAGACTGAAATGATTTTTGTCTACAAATAGTTGGAAACGCATGTTCCACCAGGGCTGGAAAATCGGAATTAAAT